AACAACATGAAAAGTGTTGAAAAAGAAAAAGGAGATGATGACTGTCTCCCGAAAATTCAAACTGGTGAACCATCGCCCAAAAGTCGTTCCAAACTCAAAACAGAGTGCGACGCACAATTAACTGAGTTTAGGTTGAAGAACATCACGAAGAGCGGGTGGGTACAAATATACTTTGAGCCTTTATCCTTTGTTTCTTAAACCGTGAACCAGGCCACGTTACAACCCTTCGAAAGTCCTAATTGAAGCATGGGTTAGTTCGAAAGCATACTGTTACAAAAGGTATCCTGACTCCTGTAGGGCTTTGCTCTAAATCTCGTGTTAACTTGTCTTATGAAAAGTTTTCTGCCAAAAAACGCATTTTTCAAAATTTCAAAGACAAACATAACTTTGCATTATTCGAATATCACTGTCTGCATTTGACCCTTTTGTTTGACAGCGAAGAAGTTCACACAGCGAATGTTCGGAGGAACGAAAACTCTCTCAGTAAGTCTAAATCACTTCAAGAGGATAACACTTCCATCAAATCTCTTATCAACAAGGGGCATGACATGTCGCAATTCAGTTAACCTGGGGCAGTCCAGTCAAGATTTCAAGAAATCTCTCAATATGCAGGGTAATCTGATTCAAGATTCCTTCATCACCACTTGAGGCATTCGAATGTCAAAAGTGTTCAACAAATCAACTACAACATTTCCAGACTCGATTCCTGTACCTAGCCAGGGCATGTCTGAAGAGTTTGAAGATTCGATTCCTGTATCCTGCCAGGGCATATCTATCAACTATCACCTTTCCAGATTCGACTCCTGTATCCAGCCAGGGCGTGTCTGAAGAATTCCAGATCAACACCTGCAACAACCCAGGAAACCTCTGTGAACGACCGATTGTAGACCAACACCTGTAATAAACCAGGATTTTATCTACATCACCACTTGGGGCATTCGAATGTCAAAAGTGTTCAAACCCGATGCAGTTTTACACAAGCTCATCATCAGGAAACCCTACACCGGTTCCCCGTCAAGACTTCTGAAACAGTTTACGGATTCTTCCCAACAACGGACGCCAATCTACCGACTTGTTCAGTTCCTTATCAAGACTTCTGAAACAGGTTTACGGATTCTTCCCTACAACGGACGCCAATCTACCGACTTGTTCAGTTCCTTATCAAGACTTCTGAAACAGGTTTACAGATTCTTCCCAACAACGGACGCCAATCTACCGACTTGTTCAGATTCTTATCCAGACTTCTGAAAACAGTTCATGGATTCATCCCAACAACGGATGTTAATCTATCAACTTGTTCAGATGCAACCTTTGAATTCAGTTTACGGACGCTTCCCAACAACGGATGTTGTTCTATTGCTGATTCCTCTTCAAGATTTCTGAAAACAGTTTACGGATTCTTCCCAACAACGGACGCCAATCTACCGACTTGTTCAGATTCTTATCAAGACTTCTGAAAACAGTTCATGGATTCATCCCAACAACGGATGTTAATCTATCAACTTGTTCAGATGCAACCTTTGAATTCAGTTTACGGACGCTTCCCAACAACGGATGTTGTTCTATTGCTGATTCCTCTTCAAGATTTCTGAAAACAGTTTACGGATTCTTCCCAACAACGGACGCCAATCTACCGACTTGTTCAGATTCTTATCAAGACTTCTGAAAACAGTTCATGGATTCATCCCAACAACGGATGTTAATCTATCAACTTGTTCAGATGCAACCTTTGAATTCAGTTTACGGACGCTTCCCAACAACGGATGTTGTTCTATTGCTGGTTCCTCTCCAAGACTTCTGAAAACAGCTCATGGATTCATCCCAACAACGGATGTTAATCTATCAACTTGTTCAGATGCGACCTGCGAATTTAGTTTACGGACGCTTCCCCAACAACGGATGTTGTTCTATTGCTGATTCAACTTCAAGATTTCTGAAAACAGTTTACGGGTTCTCCAAGTAAACGGATGTTAACCTATCGCTTGTTCAGATTCTTCTCAAAGATAACCACCACGGAAGATCGCACTCGCCAAGATTCTCCCTATCCCCAGCGGAGTTCCTTCAATCCCCAGCGGAGTCAGACTTTTAAACCTTCTCCCCACAGAGTTTTAAGGAAGCAATCTTGAGTTCCCCAGTGAAGTCTCCAGGGTTACCTCCCATCAAACCAAAGATCCTCAATCTGGTCTCCCCGGCATGAGTCTGCTAGTTGGAGCTCCCCAGTAGAGGTCATCAGGAATTCTCGTCCCCAGTGACAGCCCAGGATTTATTTTCCCCGGCAGCGGTCAAGATGCTTTTATCTTCAGCCATCTCGGAATCATGTATCCTTGGCAAGATTAGCTCATCAGCTTACATGTGCATTCATTACATTCATATCATAAGCATTAAATGTCACATGCATTGCATCATGCATCATAACATTACATACAACTAACCCTCTACCTTTTCAGGTAAGATCAGTCGACAGACACAAATCATCTCCTGAGATTTATCCAAATAGTTCAGATGTGACCCGGACACGGCAGCGTTTTGATACTTATTCCAGGTTCATTCAGACGCATCAGCAGAAACCTTACACCGGTTCCTCTTCAACTTCTCAACTTCTGAAACAAGTTTACGGATTCTTCCCTACAACGGATGTCAATCTACCGATTTGTTCAGACTCTTCATAACTTCTGAAACAGTTTACGGATTCTTCCCTACAACGGATGTCAATCTACCGACTGATTCAGACTCTTCTCAATTTTTGAAAATAGGTTACGGACGCTTCCCAACAACGGATGCCGTTCCATTGCTTGTTCAGTCCCAACTCCTGAAAATAGTTTACAGATTCTCCAGACACGGACATCAATCTGTCGCTTGTTCAGACCCCAATTCAGAGATATTCCAAAACAGGGATGCCCTTCTGATACTCGTCCACTTACCATTGACGTACAGTTCAACATCACCATATGGCATCTATAAGCCCATCCTCCTACCAGCAGTTGCCGAATGGCATCTGTAAGCCCATTCTCAGATGGCATCTCTAAGCCCATCCCCCGACAAAATTCTTTCGCACCAGATGGCATCTTTAAGCCCATCACCAAATGGCATCTTTAAGCCCATTCACCTCACCGTCACATCGACGAGCGCAAATTTTCTGGGCACATTAGTGTCCAATCTCCTTTTACCTTCAAGTCGCGAAAGGCAAACTTGCCAATCTAACTCTTCAGGTCAAAGAAGATTGAACAGGGGCAACTGTTGTACCCCAAAATTTGCCCTCGCGCTTTTCCACAAGAAATCTCAGCTTCAAACATTTCCTGACTTCTCAAACTGGCTCAAGAATCGTACAAACGGACCTTTCTTGACAGTCAAGCAAAACTAGGGTTTTTACTGATTTTCAGAACTCTGAATTGTTTCATACAGTGGGCTTAGGGTTTGATTGATTTTTGGTTCAATTTTGATCAAGCGAGCGTGATTTGGCATTTAATCGGGAATTAGGGTTTTATGGGCATATTCTCAGAAGAATTTGAATTCAACAGCGCTTTGCGATTTATTTCGAGATTCGGATTAAAATTCGCGTTATCTTGGTTTGATCAGCAAAAGAGACGGTGGTTTGAATTCAGTACGTTTTGATTGGGCCAGTCAGATGCAAGATGCAGTTTTGGAATTCACAGTGTTCATGTGTTTGATCAGTCTATCTGGGTTAATGGCTGCGTTGCTTTGGATGTTGGATAAGACAGGTTTATTGGATCAATGTTGTTTTATTTTAGTTATTTATTATTCTGAAACTAAAATGATTGAATTTATTTTTCAATTGTTTTAATTCTAAGAATTTTAAATAAATAAATAAACAATAAGGAAATTAGAATTAATTAGATAATTTGAATTTTTATTGATATTTAAATTATTTGTACAAATTGTTGTTTATTACAAACAATAATTTACATTTAATTTAAATATTACAATAGAATGAAAAAATATCCTATTTTCTAAATACTCTTCATTCTCCACTCCGCTCCGGCATTCCATCTTTCATCTGCAAAAAGAAATAAGAAAGTCAGAAAGAATTAAAATTAGCAGAGACGGATAAAAATGCTCATCATTAGGGGCCACTGACTGGGATCAGTTGCCCTCTCTGCAAATCACGGGATTTCTCCCGGTTCACAGAGAGGGAAGATTATTTTATCTCATGAAATGCAAATGTCAAAAATGCATAGTTTCTAAAAAATTGCAAACTGCATAGAATCTCAATGTCCAATTCAAACCATGTATTTCAAATCTAAACTGAAAGTCCACTCAAAGAAAATCAGGAAAAGTACTCAAAGCTGTCATGGAAAGATTTTTGGAAAAGATATCAAAAGGCAAAGTCAGATCAAAATTGTCAAAAGGATAAAGATGCAAAATGTAAGATGCAAACTATCTTTTTCATCATTTCCCTAGTCAGCCCCTTCAGAACAGTACAGATAAAAAACATATAAAAATCTCAAACTGTACTTTGGAGAGAGAGTAAAGAGAGATAAAGCAAGGCAGGGATTTAGGCATAGTTCAGAATAGACAGCAGAAAAAGATACACAAAGTCTACAAGTCCACAAGTTCAGCACAGCAGACTGCAGAAGAAAAGCAAGACAGAAAAAGATTATGCAAATCAAATCCAAGCCTAGTTCAATAGCAGGTCAGAATAAGACAGTTCACAGCAAGACAAAGAGGGGGATACAAAATCAAAGAAGCAAACATATCAGTTCAGAAGAGAGCAACATAGCAGGTTAGAGGGGAGAGAAGAGAGATATAAAACCAGTTCAGCATAACATACAAAAGGACTGTCCACAAAACTGAGTTCAAAAAAAAAGAGAGGCAGTTCAGAAGTGAAGAGGGTGAGAATAGAAGAAAATATACAAAAGCATTCAAACCCATCAACAACCTCAAGCAAATCATCACAAGGCAACGAGAGAAAGATAAGCATACAAATTCCCAAGGCAACAATTCAAAGGGCAACCCAATCTCAAGGCAATATCTGTTCAAAATCATTCAAGATAATCAAGGCAACAATTCACAAGCATCAAGAGAGCCTCAGAAGCAAGCTTCTTCATAGGCAAATCAGAAAAAAAGAAACTCAGTGAAACACATCAAGGCAGCATCTCAAAGCACACAAGCATAGGCAACAAATACACGCCCCTCAGAACTGCAAGTTCATCATGGGGGGAACCAAATCAAGTCACATAAGCAATCACATACATCAAGCAAGAGTTTAAACCAACGAATCAAGGCATCACAGTGGAAGAAGAAGAAGAAAGAAGCAATTCAAAGTGAACTCAGAAGCTTCATCAAAAGGCAGCAATGTTCTAAATCCTCAAGCAAATACGCAGTGGCAGAAGAAGATAAAGAGGCGAATTAGGGTTTTCAAGCAAATCCAACATACATCATCAAACCCTAGAAGCCTAAGAAAAGAACGAAGTTACCAGGGTCATCAGAAGCGAAGCCTCATCAAGTCCATCACGACGATCCGGCCTCCTGGAGCACCACTTCTCCGCCTCTCCTCCATCCTCCAAACATCAGGTAGCAATCTCCTCCCCCTTTCCTCTTCACCACATCATAACGGTACAAGATTCGGAAATCAGAACCCCAAATTGAAACACAAAATTTGTAAAAAAGGGGAAATGAAAACGTAGAGCGTTATAATCAAACCTTAAGTCCAGAGCGCCGAGACCATGCTTTGGGGGGAAGAAAGGTGTGGAAAGTGATGCTGGTGGCCGGATGAAGATGAAGATGGAAAGAACGTTGAACATACAAACGGCGCCGTCGTCACCTCACAAACCCTCGTTTTCGTTCTGAACCAATGACCTAACCCTAATTCTGTTTCAAAACCATGGGCTTAATCTGACCCGTTTCCTAATTCACCTCTAAAGCCCAACGAGAAATCACCTCATTTTCTAATACTAATCTTATAAAACTCTAACTCTTTTCATTTTTATAATAAAAAACAATATTTATTCTTTTATATACTAACTCATTTATTTCCTTGTTTCTAAAACATATATAATTTATTTCTTAATATTATTAAGTATACTAACTTAATCTAAATACTTGTATACACAATTAACTAAAAAACATTTTTTTGAAATATATTTGTACATATCATATAAGTTAAATTTGAAAATATTTTCTTAATACACATTTGTACATAAAAATAACCAAATACTTCCATACATAATTTGAAAATATCCTTTTTAATTAGAATACATTTGTATATAATTATCTTTTCTTTTTTATATACATGATTAAATTGAAGATACCTTTTTAATTAAAATGCATTTTTGTACATATTATACATTCTCATACATAATTAAAATTGAAACTTTTTTTAATTAACATTCTTTTGTACATAACAATTCAATACATTCACTTCTCTCTAATATTGAAATTCATAAACATTTTGGCTAAAAAACTCTTTTTAATTAAAACTTAAACACTTAATCAAAACCCTTCATTTGTACATAATTCAACCTATAAATCAAAATACATTTAAAAACATTTATCTAGGTCAAAACCCTAATACGACTCAACTTCATATTTCGCACTTGTACATATTTACACTTACACATACATATACATTTGCACTTACACAACACATTGCCCTACACACATTTTATCTTATATTCGTACATTCGATATTTACATTTTTATTGCAACATTCGATTTGGTTGTAAATTATTGGGTACTATAAGTCTCATCCCCTTGTACATTTATACCCCCACTCCCGGATATTATTTTGTAATAGCGTAGATTTATATTCCGCAATTTACAGTTTTCAATTATACCATGGTTAGACCTAGGGTTTGTATGTACATAAAATCAAACGCTAGATAACCTAATACAAGACAAATGCATGTAATCAGTACACAATCACACTTGCACCCCCTAGGGTAATCCCACATGTTGCCTTCCAAATGGGCCATGCTTGCACGTCGAATGTCTTTGGCAAAACAAAATTAAATGATCATAAGTCCCTCGATGACACTTTCGAAAATTGCCTAAACGGAATGATCATAGTCCCTTCAAAACAATTTGCCAAAGACACTTGGCATCATTGCATTCATGGTCTATGCGATGACCCGTGCCCGTCCCGAATAAACTTCCTAAACGCAAGATTGCCCATCAATTTCAATGGTGGAACAAAACTGTTAAAAGGGGTTAAAACATGACAAAAACCTTTGAGTACAATAGGGTAGACATAACTCTTAGTTACTTGAGATCAAACTTGCAAAAACACTTGCCTTCTTTTCAAAAACCACAATCCACAACACTTTCAAACAAACTCTCAAAAACATTTGAAAACATCTTTTCGAAAAGATTCACACTTTTGTAAAACACTCAAACACGAGTCAAATACATTAGTTGCCTAAAACAAGGCATCTTTTTCTAAAACATTTTCAAAAAGCACCCACACACACACCATTTTCAAAGCAATCGAAAAACAAGGCAAGTGATCTAAAAAACCAAGTAACTAAGAGCCCATGGATAACCATGGATGAAAAGGGTGCTAATACCTTCCCTTTTCATAATCTACCCCCCGAACCCACGAAATATCTCAAAAGGTTTTTGCTGTGCTTTTTAACCTTTCCTTTAGGATAAAGTAAAAAGTCGGTGGCGACTCTTGCTAACCGCACAAGTGCGAATACGAACGCAAACCTCAAGTCAGTTCTCCCACCGTATCACATACATGATAGTTTGCGAGAAAAGCTGCACATCCTGCAGTTCCTGCAGAGAATACATGAGCCTGGAAAATCACCAAGCACATAGAGAGAATAGCGTGATTGTCACCACAAGATTAGTTTATCATAAACCAGCACATAACTAGAAGAGGGGTTAGTTTCTTCATATATGTGACAATTTACCTGCTGGTATGTTCCTAACGATGTAACAGTAGGGTCCGAAGAAACCAAAGCATGCTCGCATCGCTTGATCACTTTATGAAGATCCTTCAAATGGCTATATTTCGGTTGCCTAATCAAACCTAAATCATTCATGTATGCAAGATAAGGAAGTGCTGAAATATTCCAATTATGATACATTACTTCATAATCCATTCAAATGATTGGTGAATCATGTAGAACAACAAAATAATCAAAGAATCTGGTCATAACAAACATGCATAATTTTCTTACCATATTCATCGATTGGAGCATCGTAATCATAGCTTGTAGTAATGAACGGACCCCCAGCGGAACGTCCGAAATTAGTTCCTCCATGATACTATCAATAATCAATAATCACAAAAGTGAAAATTTGACTTCAAAGCAAGGCACCACATGTTTTGTTGCAACAAATAATAAGAACAGAACCTTATCGAAATAGGTAAAGTTATTTTTTGAAATATGATAAATAATTCATAGGTGACCAACCATGTAGTAATTCACATATGATCCGCCCTTCTGAATGAAACGAGCAACTGCAAATGCCAGATCTTGAACTGGTCGCTGGTGAATCGGGCCACCAAATTCGGTAAACCTTACGATTACAGGATCGGAAAGAAAGAGATCAGCAGAATAAGAGGGTGAAAAGTAGACAAATGTATCTAACATCTATAGTCATAGAACAATGTATATCTTACCAGCCACTCCAAGACTCGGTCCACATGCTAGGCTTATATGGTTTATTTGGAGAGAAATCGTCACAGTAAAAGCCATTACACGAATTAATCTGTAGCGGAGAATCGGGTGGATCATATTCAACACTCGATAAGTCTATAATGAATGGTGAACCTAAAGATAGAGCTTGTGAGGGCTCACCACAGGATCTGGGGCATCAATTTCTTTGCACATCACCCAAGGGACTCCTGTTCCCAATCCAACAGCCATATATGCAGCCCAGTTTAGGTATGCATGACCAGCAGCTCCCATCGCCTTGCTCTCTGGTCCGTATTCGTTCTCAATCTAGAAAGAAATGACTTTTTGACATCAAAATTCTGATATCGAATGCATTTTCTTCAAAATATCCACACATTCAACAAGAACATCATACCTGAGAAAGAATGATTGGACCACCCTGAGACTGAAACAAGTTTTCACTCTTCATCATTTGAACAATCTTCTGAGTAAAACCTTGCATTGCAGCCTAAAACCGAAAAAAAAATTTATATCAACCAAATCATTCAAGACTCGAGTTAACACGGATAAACCAAACCAGGTCATGAAATGAAATCAAAGAAAGCTCAACCTTGAAAGGCTCATTATCGGTTCTAAAGCTTATACCCGGAACATACTTCAACCAAACAGGAATTCCCCTATACCATCAAAGAACAAAAACGTTATTGCAATTATAATCTTACATAAAAAAAAAAGAAATTAAAATGGAATTAGCAACATGCATGTACCCAAAGTTCCACTCGACGCAAACATAAGGTCCAATGCGAAGATTAACATAGAGCCCCACTTTTTGCACTGTCTTAATGAACCTAACTAGATCATATCTTCCTTCAAAATTGTACTGCAATACAACCCATTGAGCAGAGTGAAACTGAAACGAGATTGTTAATAACGAAGAAAAGCGAAAATTCACCCGTCGACTTCGAGGAGAACTGCGAGATCTTGAGACGGGATGCCGCTGTCGTCGGTGGATGAAGCGGCGATGACGGCGGTGGTGTGGCCGGGAAAATCGAAAGGGGAAAATTGATGGGAAATCCAATTTTCTGAAAATGTGTTTTGTTTTTTTTTTTTATCAATTAATTAATTAATTAATTATTATATATAACATAGCGCTTTTTAATAAATGTTATTATATAGGTAGTCAAATAATAGCGTTTTATACAAAATGCTATCTTAAAGAAGTTTAATAATAGCGTTCTGGTACAAAGTGCTATCAAAATTACATAGTCTGTATTATATAATAGCGCTCGATTAAAAAGTGCTATTATAAATGTGTTTTTTCCATTTTAATAGCATTTTTTTTAAAAGTGCTATTAAATTAGGTGATACAAAAAATCATTTTTGGCGTAGTGAATTTTAAGAAAAGAAAGAATTTGATTAGAGTATATGTGTGACTAATTTAAGATATAACTATTAAGGAATCAGTCAATATAATAGTCTATATGACGTAAACAATGAGAAAGTCAGGTGTTAATATTTTATACACTACTATGTTATGCACGGTGATGTTTTATGCATTGTAATGTTATCATTGTTTATCTTGTGAAAATTATTAATTGTGTTCTTTTAGTAATTAGTTTTTAAATAGGATTATGATGATATGTGTTGTTTATTTATGTATTTTGATAATTTTTTTATCGTGCTGGAGTCTATTTCGGTATGTTTCTCTTGAAATTGGTTTTTATCTATTTTATTTTTTAAGTGTTTGGACTTAAGACATGTTGAAGTTATATTATGCGTTGTTAAAAAATATCTTTTTTTGGCTTCTTTAGTAATAATTAAATTTTTTATAAATTATGTAATAAATTGAATTGTAAAATAAAAAAAACTAAAAAAATTGGTGGGTCGGCCCGCCAACCCGCCAACTCGTTAGTAAATGGGGCAGACTTGACTTTTGAGCTTGGATGCCTAAGTTTGTCCGCTCCGCCCCACCCCGCTTTTCTAAGGGCTTAAACGGGGCGCCCGCCCACTTTGCCACCCCTACTCATGAATAAAAGATTAAAATGTTACTCAAGTACAACACAACTCTCAGATAAAACTTTTCATTCTCTAGGCACTAAGACAACTCTAGTGAAAAAGAACTTTATAAAAGAATGAGAGAAAGAATGATAGTAGAAAGTTTCAATTTAAAAAATAGTGTATTTTGAAATGAGGATATGCTTCCTTTATATATGAAAAAATATGGCTCAAAAGGGTAACAATCTAAAGAAACTTTATGTTGCTTACTAGGAAAATAATTAGTGTATGTTCTTAGAGGAATATCTTTCACTTAACAAAATTTTCTTTACTGAATATTGAGTCATTTCTCACTTAAGTGATCAAGGTGTGTATGTCATAAATTACTAGAGGCGTATTTAACTGCATTCACTTTCTCCTTGCATAGCTTTACATGCACCTTACTACAACTAGTGATTCTTTGGTGATCTTATATATGTCACCCCTATCAAATAAGTGTGATAATCTTAAATATCCAAGCCTTTAAATGAAATCAAGTTGAGACAAATATCACTAACATGTCTCACATTCTTCAATTTAAGCTTGCATTCAACATTAATTTCAACACTGACATCTCCTCCCATACTAACAATTTCACAAATTTTTTCATTTCCCATTTTTAGTGTCTTAAAATCACCAATTGTATAATATGAGAAGAAATCACACCTAAGAGTAACACGGTATGAGACACTTGAATCAATAATTCAAGTTGAATATTGACATGTAAGGTTTATAGAATTATCATCATAAATAATGTAGACATCACTATCACGTATAATATGAGAAAAAATCACACCTAAGAGTAACATGATATGAGACACTTGAGTCAATAATTCAAGTTGAATATTGACATGCAAGATTTATAGAATTATCATCATAAACAATGTAGACATCACTCTCATGTGTAACTGTTATCGTGTCTTTATCATTGTCTTCTCAAATTATTAAAAAAAATTCCATGAATATCATCTTTTGAGAAATATGAAATTAATTTTATATTTCCCACATTGTCATAGTTGTAGCATGTGATTTCTTTTCTAGTTTTTGACTTGCTCCTTAACTTGTTGCGGCTCTCAGATTTGTCTCACTTATAAAATTCGTGATTTTAATTTTTCCTCGTGACTCTCTAACTCGAGCTTCATAATGATTAAGATTAAAAATCAAACCACACTTCTTTCTTCTAACTTCTTCATTAATCATGTTATATTTAACGTTAACATTACCAACTTTCCGTTCATAGTTGAATTAGTAAGTGTCACGACATAAACTTTTCAATTATTAAGAAAGGAATTAAACAATAATAAAACTTACAACTCATTTTCAACTTGATATCAATAGGTGTCAACTGATTAACATTATTCATAAATACACTCATATGTTATACTATTTAGTCGGCATCCTTGTATTTCATATTGATTAGCTTCCTTATCAAATATATTTTGTTTTACACGTTCTTGCGTTCATACAATTCTTTTAATTTATTCCATATTTTATGTGCATCAATTTCAACTTCAACATATAAATATACAGTCAAGTACGTTCAACTTTAAAAAAATATAAAATTAGTCAATTGATATACCAAAATTAAAAGTAATCTCAATTCCTCTATTTTTATTTTTATTTTTCAATTCTTTTTTTCTTTAATAAATAAATGATGGGTCCTGTTTTAAAGCTAAGTCCACCATTCCATAAAAGGATTAGGATTATAAAATATAAAAAATGACACTTAAACATAGATCTTTTTAGGAGATTAAAGTTCAAATCTCTTTCATTCTTTCAAATATTTAAAATCAAATTGACAATGAAAATAAGAAAAATGAAAGAAGAAGAAGAAAGAGATATAAGATCTATATTTATTTATTTTTATAAATAAATACAAGATAAAATTAAAATTAAAATGTTTAATATATTTTAAATAGTTGTGCTAGTCACCAACGAACACACATTCAATCGCAAGTCGGAGAATTGATCTTCAATCTAAAATGTTTGTCATCAATAAATACACTTACTCAAAAATATCAAAGTCGTAAAGTATTAGAAGAAAATCTTAGACACATATAAATTTTTATGAAATTTTATAAAAGTTCAGTTGTAAATAAAATATAAAAAAATTTAAGAGAATGTAAAACTACTCCACTGATATACCAAAATTGAAAGTAATCTCAACTCTTCTATTTTTTTCCTTTTATTCTTTTATTCTTTAATAAATAAATGGTGGCAATACAAAATATAGAAAATGACACTTAAACATTGATCTTTTTAAGAGATTAAAGTTGAAATCTCTTTCATTTTTTCAAATATTTAAAATCAAATTGACAATAAAAATAAGAAAATGAAAGGAAAAAAAAGAGATATAAGATCCATATTTATTTATTTTTGATAAATAAATACAAGATAAAATAAAGATTAAAATGTTTAATATATTTTAAATAGTTGTGCTAGTCACCAATAAACACACATTCAATCGCAAGTCAGAGAATTGGTCTTCAATTTAAAATGTTTGTCATTAATAAATACACTCACTCAGAAATATGAAAGTTGTAGAGTACTAGAAGAAAATCTTGGAGACATGTAAATTTTCAGAATTTTTTATAAATGTTCAATTGTAAATAAAATAAAATAAAATTTAAGAGCAGGAAAAACTATAAAAATAAAACATTTTATAAAAAATGAAAGTGATTGAAACTTCACCCAACTTAACTAAATTTCTAAATTGTTTAACTCTTTTGTTTAATTCCAATTAATGTAAATTTATAATAAAAATAAAATTAGAGAATGTGATGATTACATACAACATATAAGAGAAGAGGTGTTGGTTAGATTTAGAAATGGTGAGTTTTCTAGTCTCAATCTATATATGATTGGAGAAATTGTTAGATCCTCCTAATTTATTTGGAGTAACTTTGATAATTATATGGATAAAAGAAGAGAGGTTAAATGAGTTTTTTAATATATAATATTATGAAGCAAATTGATGATACAATCCAAGTTGGATATGAGATACAAGAATAATATATATATATATATATATATATATATATATATATATATATATATATATATATATATATATATATATATATATATATATATATATATATATAATATATATATATATATATATATATATATATATATATATATATATATATATATATATATATATATATATATATATAAACATAATAAGACACTAAAGGTCAATAGTACAAAATAAAAGTTGATCAACAGAACAAGAGGTATTAAACAACCAGCAAAACAAACAATAAAAAAGGCAATATACAGTCAGAACAACACCAACACTAGTACAAAGAAAACACCAATTCATAAACCAAATGCATCAGAGGGAAGCACATGTTTGATCTATATAGTCAAAAATCTTTTGAAAAAAGGCACCATTCTCCACTGAAAAGCAAGAACACATTAGAAGGAGGTGGAGACAT